TCAATCAAGTCTCCACAGAGTTCTTGGGCTTCAGTTTATCCCCAGAAGGGATCAAGATGGACCCACACATCCAAGCCATCCAAGATTGGTTGACTCCACACCTGGTATGTGACCTGCAATGCTTCCTGGGATTTGCCAATTTCTATTGATGATTTAGCCTGAATTTTTCAAAACAACTTAAGACCCCCATCACTCTCCTCTGGAAAAATGCCCAATTGCATTGGTCTCCTGAGGTCCAGCATGCATTCAGTCAGCTGAAATTCACTTTTACTACGGGGTGAGCCAGTATGGGTGCCAATGTCACATAAACCTTCATTGTAGAAGCTTTTAGTGCAGAGATCAGGACTGTCCTCTCTCTGCAACTTGGTCTCAAACAAGGGTTACACTCATATGCTTATTACACAAGGAAGCTCACCTCACAGAACTGAACTATGAAATACTTTACAAGGAACTCCTGGCGATAAAAACTTCCTTTGCAGAATGGCATCACTACCTGGAAGGAGCTCATCGCATGGTCACGGACTATAAAAACCTGGAATCTCTCTATATTGTGAAAGCCTTAAACCAACGGCATGCATCTTCAGTGGGCGCTATTCTTCTCATGATTCAATTTCATTATCACATACATCCCAGATCCAAAACTGGCAAGGTGGATGCCCTGTCCCAAAGATACAGTACGAGGCCCCAGCCAGGAACCAATCCTCATTTTCAATCCTGTGGCACTCAGTGCAGCGCATCACTAGGATATACTCAGGTTTACACATTCTGCCTCTGGCTCAGAAATTCTGCCTAATGAACAAGCTATTATCGACAGGAAACCACATGACTTCCAGGAAGGGATCATGCATGTAAAGGACTGTGTCTGTGTGGAAGGGTGGCAGTTTTGCAACTATGCCACAATTTCCCCCTAGCAGGACACTTGGGGTGCGTCAAGACCCAAAGACTAATATCCCACTCCTTTTGGTGGCCCCGGATACCCCCAACCATACAATTATTCATTGTCTCCTTTGTGTTTGTGCCCTTACCAAGACCGTACGCCACAAGCCCTGCAGTCTCCTCCATCTTGACCAGGGGCCACCATTGCCATAGATTTTATTGTAGGATTACTGGAGTCCAACAAATTTATGACAATTTTGATGGTAGTGGACCACTTTATCAAACTGGTTCACTTCATCCCTTGCACAGGCCTCCTCCCCTCTGCAGACAAGATAGCCCAGCTATAGATTACCCAGATTCTACAGCAATGTCTGTAATGCTACATTAATCATCACCAGGACAATTGGTCCTCACTTCTCCCTTACATGGACTTTGCCTACAACAGTGCAGACCATGCCTCTAGGGGTCAAAGCCCCTTCCCCCGCCCCCAATTATGGGTACCACCCCAAATTCCACCCACAATTACCTGCATCCTCTTCCGATCCAGCTGCTTCAGACCTGGTGGAGCAGATCTGTTGGGCCCAGGAAGAAGTACATGGAAAAGGCAAGAGCAGACTAGAAGCAGTATTTAGACCATCATCAACAGCAAGACCCCACCTGCACAGTAGAGTAGGAGATATGGTGCTCCACAGAGCTTCCCCACACATACAGACGTGGTCACAAGCTGAACTTTCAGTTCCTTGGCCCCTTTAAAATCCTGTGACAGGTTAATCCAATCACTTTTCAACTCCATCTACCCCACTTTTTGAACATTCACCTGATGTTTCGTGTATCACTACTGAAACCCTACACAGAAAACCCTTTTCCCCACAGATATGATGGCACTAGAGAAACCATTGTCTGTTTCCCCCTAGACAGCACTGTATGTTCAGACACTCAAATAACTGAAGGCGATGATGGTACTGAATGCTGTAATGCAGAAGCTGGCAAAGTTGGACCTGAGGTTGTTGGTGCTGGGTGAAAGGACCCCTGCACAGCCAACGAGACTGGTACCAAGATGCATAAGTTTCTTGCCATTACATAAGCTTCTGGAGTCAACAGCTGCTGGTGGGTTGATTTGGATGGCACCATTGAGGTTTAAGGTACTGCTTCAGGAGCTAGTCTTGACCATGCCTATGCTGATGCCAAAATCGACAGACCTCCCTGAGTAGAAGACTGTCTCAGTGAGTGCCTCAACTTCAAGTGCATTCAACTACCTTTTTCTCCATGGCTGCTGGACTTTGGTACCATGGATCTCTCTCTCCTGGATGTTTCCTTGGAGGTCTGACATGTCTTCCTTGGTACTGTGGAGGGCAACCAGTGCTGGGACTCGGCCAACATTGTGGGAGCACTCCTCACTGAAGTCAAAGTGCTTGGTAACCATTCATAGTGGAAAGGCTCCAAGAATGGCTGCAGAGTGGCCTTCATCAGTAGAAACTTCAGTCTGGCCTTGCTGTCTTTTTTGGTCCTTGGTTTAAAGTCTCTACAAATCTGAAAGTGATCCCTGACATGTGATTCCCAGAGACACTTCAGGCAACTGGAGAGTGGATCACTGGCATTGACTTTTTACAGGAAAGACAGGGCTCAAAATCCAGTGACCAAGGTATGCCCTTGTGACACTGGCAGGCCAGATGCCAGTTCTTGCCCAGGCTGCAGGCATTAGCTAAGAACTGACAACTCGTAGCTGGAGACCAGACCAGGTCACCTGTATGTTAGTTTTGCTCAAAATAGGCATTAGTCTTATAAGAATGTATTTACACTCTATGAAATACTTGTATGTTGCTGCATGTATTAATCTCACTTATAATATCTATATCCCATGTTATAAGGCAATATTTTAAGTGTTTGTGCTGAATAATCTGTAAATACCCCTTCCCCCCCCCCCCCCACCCACACACACCAGTCAGGAGAGAAACATTACCAAGTATGAAATACTAGTTTGCCACAGGAGGTGTTATCTCCCGCCCAACAGAAAAAGAAGGCCCAGAGACACCAAACTATTGTGGAACATCAGAGGACAAAAGACTGTTGATTGCTTCCCACCCACGCCCACCTGTGAAGAGGAGATGTGCATGTGAACTCATCCTATCATCTCGAACTCTGGAAGAAGAGAATAAAAATCCCTGACAAGAAGACACTGCATCTCTTTGGCTGTTTGAACTCTGAAGGGCCAGAGACTCTAAACTGAAGCCAGAGATCCCTCCTGAATCTGCCCTGAAAGACACTGAGTAGACAGATCACTACAACTCTGTCACTCTTAGGATTTAGATGGTAACTCATTGGTGTGTATATATGTTTGCTTGCTTGAACCTCTAAATAACTCTCATTCTTTTTCCTAGTTAATAAGCCTTTAGGAAGTTTATTACAGGATTGGCTACAGGTGTTGTATGTGATATAAGATCTAGGGCATCAGTTGTTCTGAAGTAAATGACTGGTCTCTTCGGACTGGAAGCAGCCTGAATGTAGTGTGATTTTTGATGTAGGTGACCACTTATCACTAAGTCCTGTTTGTCTGGGTGGCAAGATAGACTGGAGAGTCTAAGGGGTCTGTCTGTGACTCCATGATAAAACTGTTACAATGATCCAGGAGATCACATTTGTCACTGGCTTGGTGAAATCTAATTATAGAACTCACCACCAGTTCGGGGTATCTGCCCTGTTTTTGACAGTCTGCCCTAAGGTAGACACTCATGATTGTGAGTCACTCCAGACAGCGTCACAGCCCCAATACCAGTAATGGAATCCCACAAAGAAAACTGAAGTGTATAAACACACTAAAAGGGAACTTAATACTAAAAACTATCTAACACTAAAATTAAGGTTAAATGGACACCAACTATGAACCAAAAATAGATAAATGGGAGAAAAACATGCAAAGGCAAGACAACTGGCTCCAACAACTGTCATGGGCGGTAAGAAAGAACTGGGGGTGGGGGTTGGAGGTAGCTCTGCCCTTTATACTACTGCACAGCAGAGCAAGGCAGCAGACAGCGCATGCACTGCCCCGATGGGTACCACTGAGGGAAAAATCTCCAAAAGCAGTGCATTGGGCGCGCACACACCTGAAATGGAATGGATATGTGCAATCGCTCCAAGAACATAATATAAATCTAGATTAAAAAAAAAAGTTGGGTAATAGCATGGACTGTTGTTCCCTTGTTTGAAAAGCACTGTGTGCATTTTGGGTGCTACTGCAAACTAAATAATGCATTCATTTATCAAGTCTAATAATGTGAAAGTGGCTAATATAATACTTCGGAAAACTGCTAATAAAATGTGCATGTTATTGGAGCTACATTTTGGTTCCGTTTAGGTGAGGTGTCCATTTGTAATTTTAAAATAATTTACAGTACAGAGCAAAGCAAACAGTCTCTGTGAATGAAATTCACCTCTGTAGAAAGCTAGCACACGGCCCACAATACCAATTAAGTCCCACTCAGGGCCGGCTCCAGGCACCAGCTTACCAAGCAGGTGCTTGGGGTGGCGACTTCGGAGAGGGGCGGCACATCCTGCTGTTCGGCAGCAATTCGGCGGACGGTCCCTCACTCCTGCTCGGAGCGAAGGACCTCCCGCCGAATTGCCGCCGCACATCGCGATCTCGGCTTTTTGTTTGTTTGTTTGTTTGGCTGCTTGGGGCGGCCAAAACCCTGGAGCTGCCCCTGGTCCCACGTAAGGGCTACTGTGCAGAATTGCTTGCAGACCCTCTGTGGTGTATTGTGGAAATATTCTTTGCAGTGGACCCATATAAATTGCTGTTGAAAGCCATTTTAGGGATGAACTGGTTTGAGACCATTGGTCCACAATTATACAGACCTAGTGTCTCAAGTAACAAGAACACGAAGGTGCTAAAACATTATATTCCAGCAGATAGTTGGGTACAGCGGGGTGAGGGCTGCACCGCAGTCCTCCTTGCTGACTGTAGATAAGGGGGATTAATTTCTCCTTGTCCAATCCCCTCTAGACTCCTCTGCCAAAAAACTCAGGCTTTATGCAACCCTCACATGATATTTACTTCAAATGGGTAAGATTTATGTATTCCTAGTAATGTACAGAGTCAGTTCCCTATAAAACAAAAGAGAAGAGAGTCCATTCATAACACTACTTTACTGGAGTCTTAACATTTAGAAATATTTGACAATATGGCAGTAGCTGGAAACGACTGTTTATAACATGTATGAGTTCAAGCTTACAAGCAGCTTTATTGGACAATGATATTCTCTAGTAAGTTTATTGTCCTTTTACACGTCTCATACAACAAATCCATCCTATACTATGTACCTTGTAGATTCTGCTGGAGTCTCTCTTTCCCATTTTAGCTCACTGCTCAGGCAAGCTGATTTTCCCCAAACTTTATTATCAAATAGTTATGTTTTATAGCAGGAAAAAGTGGAGGGGGGAGTAGGAGGAAAGAGAGGGGAAGTACCAGGATAGAACAACTGGGAAATACTTTTAAGGGTGTAGCTAAATGACAGTAAAATATATGTTCTTTGGTTAGCAAGCAGAAAAAACCCCTTGCATACATGATAGATACACACCAGCATTCTAAAGCAGGAGACAAGAATGTCAAGAGTGTATTCTTCTCCCACTGCCAGATGGAAAGGCTATTATTATAAATGAAAGGCAGCAATAGTGGATGCCAGGCACTTTTGTTGTGTGCCAGATTCTGAAGTCCAGATGTAAGCAGGTTACCCCTGGGACAGGACAGGCTTCAGCTCCCGCAGTAGAATAGAACCAATCACCGTTTTCTCAGTGTTTATGATGAGCTGTGCTGTAGAGCCTTCCTTCAGCTCCACTGTGACTAGCATCAATGACCCACTGTGCACAGTTTTAGCTGAAAACCTGGAGGAAGGGAAAAAAATCATTAAGGCATTCATATAAAGCCAAAAGTTGGTAGTGTATTCTTTCTAAAGTTATATTAGTTTAAATTTCAAAACTTTTTCAATTTAATTCAGTATCGGGGACAACCCCTAAATCCCCCTACAAATTCCTCAGAAACAGGATTTGTGCAGTGCTGCACAAATAGCTTTATTTAGATTTTATTATCTAATAAAGCCACAAAGCTTTAGTGCAAGATTTTTTGTTTAGTATTATGGACAAGAAAGTTCCTTTAAAGGAAAATTATTGTTTAGATTCTAGTTTTGTGTATTAACACCGAGTACTTCAATTGAAAGAAAGTATTCCATTCTGCACCAGTAACTTAAAACCAACTGTATTCATAGTTAAAGGATAATCTTCAGTATTTTATACCAAAATAACTAAATCCAATACTAAAATGATGCTGATGTTATGCATTTTCTAAATTGTTAAAATGCAGCCTTTTGAAAATGTTTTCTCTGCATGCCACGTGATGAATTAATTCAACTTAAATTGCTCAAACTTAATACCCAACATGATATGAAATGATGTTATGTAACAAACGAATCTTTCTGAAACACCAGATCTTCTCCCCTTAATTTATTTTATCTCCAGAACATTTGACACACTTTTCTATTGATTAAATATTGTAAATAAAAAGTGAGATCTAATGCTCCATTATTAAATTCCAAGACATAAAGAACTCACTAATTACACGGAATTAAAAGCAAAACTAGCCTTTTAAGCACTGCAATTGACTGAAAAGCCATTTTAGGCACAATGAACTTCTGTCAATCCTGTTAATTCATTCTGCATGCACAGCCAGGCCCCAGAGACAGGAAGGATGAGGATGGCAACAGCCTAGTCTTCCATTTTCCACAAGGAGTGCACCACACGTGTGTGTGTGTGTGTGTGTGTGTGTGTGTGTTATTTGAGAACAACAAAGTTGCTGCACATGGGCTTTTGAAAACACTAACAAGTGTAGAGCAGGTCTATGACCTACTGTGACCCCACTTTGCAGGGCCAATCCCCTCTCCCCTTTCTGAATGACACGTGTCTGAATCAGAGCCATCTGCCTCAATTTGCGCAACATCTTCAGCCACAATAGGACCCAGTTAGCCCTGACAACAGCTCACAATACATAAAAATAAAACTGCTGTGCTGACAGCACGCTGTCAGCTATTCAAGAGCAAACCAACTGGTCAGTGTCTCATGTCTGACAATTAGCAAGGGCCTTGCAAAGCGCCTACTGAGGTCCTTAGGGAGCTCTTTAATTACCATCAACATAAAAGAGGGAGTTTATGAGGAGATACTCAAAAAACTTCACTCCAGACTTAATTAAAATATTAGCTACTTAAGCAGGAAGCAGATTCTCTTTAAATGAGATGTAATTTTTAAAAAAATATGTTTAAGTACATCAAAAACTCATAACACATCATACTAATTTAGGACACAAGTCATTTCTCAAAAGTTTCCTATCACAGGTCAATATATTTCTTTTGTCCAGGTTATAGATGCATTCTAACCAGTCTTCCTCCAATAGGAAAACCTTGCTTTTTCCTAACTACAAAACTACCACCTTAAAAATTAACTACTTATTTAGTTGTGTCTGTCATCTTGGCTATTTGCTTCACAATGTAAATTTCGGTATTTCTCATGTTGATTTTGACAGGGTGATAATTATGTAAACAATAGTCTTATTAGTCTCTTTATTTACTTAACACTTGTGTCTTGGGACAACACAGAAGCAGATTATGTCTGAATGCACACATAAAAAGCTCTGTAGTTGGAGTTCCTGCAGTGTTTCATAGCCCCAAGGCTCTTTTTACCTCTTTTCTATTAAAAACAGAAAGTGATATAAAGTCAATGTTATGATAAAGCAAATGGAGCCCAAAGCCTCACCAGAGGTCAGTTTTGTTGACTGTTTTATACATGCCATTTAAAACACCAGGTAGGGGGATAATCATTATAAATAAAAATTCTCTAATGAAAACGCGAGTCTTGTATTTGTTGCAGAATCTAAATATGTGCTGACTATTTCACATAAACTATTAGCGTGTATGCAATTACAATATTTACTAAATGTCTGTTCTATTGGACACTGATTTTGACACTTATTGAAAGCAGATGTCTAATGAAAAATCACTTGACTTATTTCACTGTTAAAGAAAGAGCTAGTTAAATTGTAAACCTGTTTTGGGCTGTGGAAAGCAAAGTCTGTTCCCTAAAATCCACAAGATCATTACATTGCAAAATTAGCTACAATAGAAACATATATTCAAAAGGAATGTACATTTCTGAAGCTAAACTCAGTTCTGAAATGATAAGGCGGCTGATGTTTAGATACAAGATTAATTATCAGTAAGACCACTTGTGTCAATTAAGACGTTTTAAAGTAGTGGTTGTTATAGTAGGATTATTTGAGGACCATCTGATTATTAGGATAAAGAGAAGAAGTCTTATCAGATGTTTTACTCTTAAGATAGTCAACCCACTAGCATTTTAACAAAATTGTGATCTAATCAACTAGATTTGTAGATATGAGAAAACCATTCAATATTGTTCAGTAATGAAAATAAATCACTTATGTACAATATGTTTACTCTTTATAGGAAGCTGTGGAACATTTTTTGTCTCAATGTCAGTTTTCATCCCTACTTTTTGTACCAGGGTACACTAACATACATACAGGAAGCTATATTCCATTTATTATGACATCAGACTTCAGTGTGGCTTTGAAATAATCCTTGGAAAACTACACTGTTGTATCTATCAAGTTTAAATTGTAAATTGTAGTTGTTTGTAGAGGTAGAAAAGGCCTTCTGTGGGACATCACTAGGTGTGGAATGTTAACAGCTATTAGAATGGGCCTGCTGTGATAGAGGGTAGCACACCAATAGACCTGGAAAAATACTAAGAGTAAATGAGTACAAGTACAATGTTTGCCATTAAAAAAGAAAAAAAAAACTTTTACCAGTAGATACAAAACCGTGATATCTGTGATAATTCAATTGTTTTATATAGTTAAGCAGTATGTTTAAAATGATTTCACATGATCATCTAGTTATTTTTCATTTTTAATTTATCCCCCACCCCATTGTTTGTATCAACCAGATTGGAAACTTGAAAATGAAAGTTTTCCTGTCAGAATATTTCTCCCTACAGCACACGCATAATGGTGGTGTGTCATTTATAGCATTACTCACATATACTGGATTATGGGTATTTTTTTTCCATTTACAAAAAGTACTTGGGTAGGCAGAGGAGGATGTTATGCATGTGCAAAAACCAAATCTTTCTCAGCAGGTTAAACAAAAAAGAAAAAGAATAGGTAAGTCAAATAAGCCCGTCCATTAACCTTGAGAGTTTCAGTTTAAACTTATTACATCTTTCAAAAACTTTGTTTTGTGTGTGCAATTTTTTTTGGGGGGGGGGAGGGGGAAAGGCATAGTGATAATTTTTTATTGAAATCAACATTTGTCAACAGTGATGTATGAAATCTAGTTCTTTACTATTTCAAATATAAGGGAAATTTGAGTATCTTAGATATTACAGTGCGGTAACATTTGCCAAATGCTGACCTTTTAATGGTAACCACTGTACATAAAAACGGAAGTAGTTTCTGTTTCTGTAAACAAAAAGGGACTAAAATTCATGATCCAAGTACTTTAAAGAATTGCAGAAATTCTTAGTTACCAGATACATTGCAAAAAAAACTGTAATATACTCTCAATACCTACTCTTAAATAATTAATATTTATACAAAACTATGAGTTAATTTCTAGCAGAACATTCACAAACAGAACATTTGTTTACAAAAAAACAAGGATTTGCTACAGTTAATTCAACAATACTAAGACATACTTTCTCTTCTCATGGACAGTCTTCCTGGTCTCTGATTGTTCTACTCTAAGTTCAATTTTCTCCTGTTTTCTGTTCTGCTGGGTATCAGAAACAGTGACAATGGCCCACTCAGGCTAAAACTTTTTTTTTCTATCCTGTACATGAAGCCTTCAATTACTGCCTGCTGAAGCAGACAGAATCCTATTAGTAAGAAAGACAATCACAAGATGCAATGCCCTGCCCTAGCTGTACAAAAATAATTAGTCCGAAGTTGACAAATGTGTAATGAAGTTGCACAATGAATGTATGTAAGAAATACTGGTATAAATTAGTCTTCTACTTCCAAATACCAGAGTTAACAGCTATGAAGCATTATTTTCCTATGTGTTATCAAGAATAAATAATTATACAATTTTGTAATTTCAGTACTCTGAAGTTTTGATTTACTTTGGCTAATACTGTATTTATATACAAGTTTTACTTTGTAATTACCTAAGGATCTCAAAAATGGTAAAATAGTGGATATTTATACTGTTTAGCTGTCATAGAAACTTTAGAACTTGAATAAAGATATATTGGGGACAGATTTAACAGTATATGCCTATATGGTTCTGATACAGGGGTGACCAAAGCTTGTAATCTCAAACGTATTAAAAATAGAAAATAGTAACACATTCACAAGAAAAGACTTGAAAATCAATTTAAAAAAAACAAATGATTTTCATCTCAGAAAATACTTCACTAGCATCAATTAAATTATTAAAAGCAGAGAAAACTAGATTAAAGAGCATTTACACCATAGATATAATTTTATAATCATTTTGATATCTCTTTCATTTTTCAGATAGTGTCATGTTTTCTTGAAAAACAACTTTATTGAATTAAAAAGTTCCCTTAAAATTTTCAACATACTTATGTTCAAATCAAATTATATTGTGATGATAGAAATATTAAACATTTAGGGGTTTAATGAAAAACATTTTATTTTATGGATAAACTAGGACCAGTGATGTACTGTAGCATTTTTAGCATGCTAATTTTTTCTGCCAAAAATAGATTCCAGAAGCCTGGCCTCAGCTGCTACTCAGCAATCTCACTGTATTTCTGTGAAAGTCAGATGTGCAAATGAGCCTGTAAGACTT